TAACACCTATTGATGTTCATGTTAGTTGGTATATTATGTATGATATTAACTGAAGTTAAACATGGAAGGTGAGTTGGAGGAATGTAAGACGTACAGATTTGGGATCAATAGAAATTCCAGATAATGATGCCCCCACAATCTTGAACGACACCTTTAACAATGAACAAAAATTAGGATCATAGACTTCCTGTAGAAACTTTAGGCAATTCCGAAAAGTAAAAAAAATGGTAAAACGGGTTGAGACAAAAGATCGTACTTTGGCATAGTTGTACGCAAGCCAACTGAATGGTTCCTCTAGATCAACCGGAGGAAGATCCTTATTCATCTTTTCCTCTAAAAAATCCTCTACGTTTACCATGTTATTGGCATTCTCTGTCTCATTATCGCTATCATCATCTGTTGTGCCTTCAAGAACTGACCTAAAGGAAGCTGACCTTTGCGTCTGCCATGGTGCAAACCTAACTGTTCCAGAGAATGTTGCCTCAATACTTTTCCCAGAAAGTCCTCGTCCGCTAGTGATAATTTTCCATTCAACAGAATGCTCTGCATGTGAAACTGTTCCAATCGATGGACTGCCATCTAAAGATAAAATCCTTCTCCTTGGAAATGGCATGGTCACATTACAGAACTCCATTGTCAAGGAGACTTATAACCTTCCATTAGGTGCAATTTGAACAAAAATGCACCTTCATCCTCGGATACCATAGACAATTGATAGAATCCCTTTACAGGAGGGCCAAGGCTACATGTTGCTTGATATCGCATCAAAACAAAATTACCCAGAGGAGGTGAGAACATCAGAGCCTGCTTATCCACATTTTGTTCTGGAACCTGAGCACAAGGATGGAATGATAAAGTCTCAATCTTAGATGTGCTCACTCCTGTCAAGGGAAATGACACATCAGGCAGTCCTTCCAATTCTGCTCGACAGTTTATTTGCCCAGAGACTGATAAACTATCTGGAATCTCATCTCGATCATACATGGCAGCATGAAGAGTTTCATGAATGGTGAATAAAAGTCTCTGCTTTCCTCTGTACAGATAGGGCTTCCATGCTGGTTGCTTGAGGTCTTGTGGAGGGATATCCAATGAAGAAAAACCATTAGCCTTGATTGAGAATATGTTGGAATAGCTGAGATCCAAGGGCGTTCCTGTATTAATATTAAATGGTGTCAAGCAAAGAATCCACAAGAAAAATATAACATCATCTTTCATGAGAAAATACCATAATGAAAAAAGTACCAACCAAAGGGCATTGCGCTACTTATGAAAGTTCTAAGTGCATCTTTATCCAGCAGCCTTGAACCAGTTTTTGGAACATCAGGTGCAATAGCTCCAATTGCAGTAGAGCCAGATGGTGCAGAAGATGCAACAGGTGCCACTACAGGTTTTGCTCTTGAGATTCCCGATATCCCAATACTTCCAGTAAGCGAGTCTAACAACCCACCAACTGAAGGAGATTGACTTACAACCACCTCAGGCTCTGCTACATCCCCAGTAACTATGTCACCAATGGCATGAGCCACCATGAATGCTCTACAGCAGAGAAAAAAAACTGATACTATTTCTTTTCATCAAGTATGAAACAGTTGTATGATGAACTCAAAGCACAACCAAAACTGAGCACTACCTTTAGTAACAATAACAGGACAAAAAAATTATAAAGTGAAAATTTTCACAGCTTTCTATTCCATATAAGAAATGTCATCCAAAAAACTGACATCAGGACAGAATGATTTAACACTAGGTTTACAGAATAATATTGCAAGTAACTTACCATACCCTGTGATTGATGGAAGATCAAGAAGCAAAGAAGACAAATTTTCATCTGCCATGACAGCATTTCCACAATCAGATCTCTTACAGAGCCTTGCATAAGCCTTAACATGCCTGGGCTCAACTAAGGGCAGTATAAGAATGCAATAAGGACCCTTGATGTGCAACGCTAAAGGCCACATAAAATTCTTCTCTCCTTCCTCCTCTCTGTTTATGTAAAAGCCTACAAGATGACGCGTAATTGGGTCATCAACCCATGAATCTGATCCTTCCTTTGACTGGGATACGCGTATACCAAATCCACGAACAGACCCCTCCCTGTAAAAGGGGAAAAAGTTACAACAAGTCAAAACAAACAAAAAATAACTACCAGAGTTGAAATGAACTGAAAAGCAAAACAGTTAACATCATTAAAGAAGAGTTATACATAGCTATGTTCATTTGTCACTTCTATAATATCCTTCATTTAAAATCCGAACATGTTTTACTTTTTGCTACCAAAGAAGAATGTTTGTAGTGAAGTAAAAAAGGTAATGGAGCCTTAACAATAATGATTTAAGTAATTAGTTAATTTCACAGTAAGGTTTGTACACAATAAACTTGTGGTCGCAGGCTGTTAAAGTTTGACCAGGGAAAAAGGAACCCCTAAAATTCAAGTCATCATCAACATCATCATCGAATTGAGCTCAAGCTATCAAATGAGCCAAGCTTGAGTACATTAATCCTTGTCTTGTGTCTTGTGAGATTAATCGAGTTTTTTATAATTAGTATCGAAACTCTCAATTCAAACTTGAAATCAAGCTTGGATTTTTTTGAGAAAATAATCAAGCTTGAAGTTGAGCATAAGAATGAAGCTCAATTTTACTAGGTAAACAAGCCTAATCAAATGAGTTAAAAGTGAAACCGGATGAAGCTCAAACCTTTCACAAATTAAACTCGATACTGCTGCAGCTTTCTTTCCTACTAAGCAACAGAAAGATGGTTGTTTTGTTCCCCCCAAACAAGAAAAAGAGAAGGCTCCAACTGTTCTGTCCTACAGTATACTGTTTTTAGTTATTGGTGATGAAATTGGGTTTGCAAGCCAAGTAATTTGCTGGCTTCACGAAGAAGCTCTTATGGTGGGAATAAAAACAAATCGCGATTTCCTTTGTTTGACATTTGAGCTAGAACAGGGGGAGACTGTTAGTCTGGTTGCCCATGTGAACCCAGGAGACATTAAAGATGGCATCTCTTGGTGGTTAGTAATGGAAGATGGATTTGCAGAGGATTGGAAACTTCAAATGGACATGCATGATGGTGCATCCGATTACAGAAAGTTTTTGGGGCATTTAACTTTGGATGTATTATACTCCACCTTGATGGACTTGGTTAGCATGTGCGGTGGAGGCCGAAACCACTGAGCCTGTTTTGTTTTATTACGATTCATGTCAAACGGGTTCCTGTACGATTTAGCAAGTAATTCCACTCTTTAGTTCCCCTCCCTAATAGATCTAAAAGCCATTAATTGCTTAATTTGTAAATGGGAAGTTGGGGATTAGAATTAATGATGGTGAATGGAGTGTTTAATGACGTTTGTTCGATATTTTCTCGCCGGCTATTGAAATGGACAGCTTTAGCTTATTGATTACACAGGTTCTAGGTTTACGGGGAAGCTGCAAAAGAAGCTGCAAAAGAACCCGCAAAAAGAAGCCCAAGGAGGAGCTTTCATTAAAATTTCCAGGTCAGTTCTCTTTACTCTAGTTTTGTATTGTCACCAAATAAAAACATGTCACTTTCAACCAGCATATAAGCGTCGGCTAAAAGAGCATCAAATTATCAAGAACGTGCCTTCATGTTCAAGCAAAAAAAAAAAACTCGATCGGCTCAAGTACACTCCTAAATTATGTACGATGTAATGAACAGTAATAATAACATGCAATTTAAGCTTAAAAAGTAATCTGAGTACTGGAAGAAATAGTTGAAAAATTAGCTAACCTTGTCTTTCTATCAGAGAATGCGGCAGCTAGATCTGAATCAGAGGGAAGCGAAGAGAACACAGTGCACTTAACAGGATCGTTTTCGGAGCTATCATTTTCACTTTGGCAAGCAGCTAGCCACCGCTTCTCCACCACCGGAAACCTCCTGAACATACACATCAAAACAAATCAATTTTTTAAAAAAAAATAAATTTATTTCGGCCAGAAGCATTCTTAGGAATTGAAATCGAGATCGAAAAACCAATCTGAAAAGAAAAATTAAGCTGAAAACAAATCCCTCAAACGTTGATATAAAAGAGAGATTTGACGTGGAAAGCAAGTTCTGGTGATGGATTGACCTGGAGAAAACGACGGCGTCGAGGTTGTTGAGTATCCATAGTGCTCTGATGCTGCAATCGCCGGCCATGGCTTTGATAGTTTTTTTCTTTTTCAGTTATTTTGAGAGTGATAAAAAGACGATGATGAAACCAAAAAACGAAGGTGCTGAGAAGAAGAGCAAGATACGCTACTAAGAGTTGGTTTCTTTCTAGGAAGGGTAAACTACCTTAATCATCACTCAATTATTTTTCTCATCCTTATTTTAGCCATTGCAATTTTTAAGTCTTTAATTTAATCATTTAAATTTTTGAATTATTTCTATTTTAATCATGATGATATAATTTATTTTATTAATATTTTCTTATTATCTGACGTGTTTCATTAAATTTTTTAATATAGCATATTTATTTTTAAAAAATATATTTAATTTTTATATTTTTAAATATTAAAAACAAAATTGTAAAAATAAATCGATATTATTACTTCAGATTTTGTAGTAAAAATGAATAAAATAATGATAAAAAATTAAAATTCCAGTATAATCCATATATTGAACAAGGCATGGGCTAATTTTAAAAAATTCATAACTTCAAATAGTAATTTTAAATTTAAAAATAGGTACCAATTTAAAAGAAACTACCAAATTTAGATACCAACTTATATAAAGGTTATCATTTGTTATTGTTTAATTTATAAAAAGGTTATTATTCATTATTATTTAATAACAAAAATAATTTCACATATCATAACCTAAACACTATATATAAAATTATTTTGTGTACAGTAACCTTTTATAAAATAAAAAGATTAATAATTTTAAAAAAAACGTTAAAAAGATAAACAAAAACAAAAAAAAATACGCAATTTTGATGTTTATTCGACCGATTGGAATTTTCAAATCGGTGCCGTTTCAAACTATGTCAATGCAAGCCTTGAAAGTTTGTGTTAATCTTAGGTTCGACAAGATGTAAAGGGGAAACCCAAGGGAAGGACTACACACAATTTTTGGAAAAATTCATACAGCAAAAGGCTTGCTACATACAAAGTTACTTGGAAGAAGCCCTTAAATATTCAGGTAATGTTACGTTGTTTGAGATGCGTCCAGACCGGCATGCTCAATGCCAACTTCGATGTCCTAATTAGAGGTCCACACAGAGATAGGAGAGGACTGAGCTGGCTCTTCTCTTCGTCCTAGGACTTACCTTCCATTTCTCGACCAGGACCTTCTTTATGTTCGGGCAACTAGAAACCACGGTGGCAACTCCGGCACTAGTTATGTTCGGGCAGTACACCATGTGGCATAACTTGAGCATTTGGCAATTTTTGACCAGATGAGAAAGACCGATGTCTGTTATTTGATGGCAATGGGACAGTATTATATCCTTGAGTAAGGGACAACCTTCTCCTAACTCGGCCAGTGCCATATCGCCTAAATTCTGCCATCAAAAGGGTTTGATAAGCAAGCAAGTACTGGATCGGAATAACACATAAAATAAAATAACAGTCAGGTTGACACTCCCCTGCAGTTCGGAGAAGTATTGGAAGAAGCAACAAAATTACAGGAGTAAACAATCAAGTTGAACAGAAGCTTATCTACATAAAGAAGAAAGAGAGGGAGAGTGAGGGCACACCTGGAGAACACTCACATCGAGGTATGAGAGTTCTGGGCATCCTCTTGCAATGGCTACAATTCCGGCATCACCTATTTGGTTGCAGCCACTAACATTTAGATACTGTAATGGGCATCCCTGACCGACAGCAATAAGAGCTTCATTCCATACCCTAGTAGAAAAATGGCAAAAAAGCTTAAATGTAGTCACTATTTGTAAACCATAATTCACACCCAAAAAAAGCTTCATATGTGTAAACCATAGTTCACACCGGAAAAAAGATCCATATGTGTAAACCATAATTCACACCCAAAATAAAGCCCATGTGTAAACCATAATTCACTCCCAAAATAAAGCCCATGTGTAAACCATATTTCACGCCCAAAAAAAAAACTCGAAGCACAGCTGACAACATGAAACAGCATGGGCAAATAGAACTGCCACAGAAACGTGGAAGGAAAATACAATTTGACAGACCTATCACAAAAGCGGAGACTAAGATCCGTGAGAGAGTGACAGTTCTCACCAACAGCTATGATTCCCTTGCTTCCAACCTATTGGCGTGATACAAGTTAAGGATTTATATCCGATATGGAATTGCAGAAATAAAAAAAATGAATTATTGCCAGCATCTAAAAGATGCAAGCCTACAAATGCAGTCATTTTCCTGGTGAAGTCGGTACTAGTGGTTCAAGCATATTGCAGGTAGAGGAATATATCCAATAGACATAGAGAGAGACCTCATAACATCTCCTGATATGAAGTTTCTTTAGATTTCGGCAACCTCTGGCTATACTGCAAATGGCTTCATCGCCTAGGCTGGAGCAATCTACCAAGTGAAGAGCTTGCAAGTATTTACAGCCCCTTCCAACTTCAGTAAGGGCGAAATTACCAATCCTCTGGCAGTATAATAAAGCCAACTCAGTCAGGCGCCTGCACAAAGTCAAGAACTTCAGAATTGATATAACTCAAAATTAAAAAAAAAATAACGTAGTCTGCCGCCCAATCATAGGAATTGGATATGAGACCTAGCTACAGCTAAAGCCTAGACTCTTTTCCCTTAAAAATTCAGTAGCAAGGGAAAACAATAAACATACGGGCAAGATTTCCCCACAGACTCCAGTCCAATGGTTCCAATATTGTGGCAGCCATTAACTTCAAGATGCGTAAGTTCAGTGCAGCCGGTGGCAATTGCCTCTAGACCCATATCACCCAGGAAATTGCAATCACTCAAAATAAGGTTGTTTAGCTTCTTACACCCTTTGCCGATAGAACGAAGACCCCTGGGACACGAATGGAAGTCATACTTCAATAATCATGCCATCCATATGAAACATAGTAAAACAAAGACCATTGAATTAGGTAATAAAACTGATAGGCCAAATAGCCTTCAACAATGCAATTCAATGAGGGTGATATTTTAATCATCATGCATAAGAAATCTAGGGAAAATGACAAACTCGTCTGTAAATTGCTGGAAACTGTGTAAGGCCAGCATTTCCAACGACAAACAAGAAACTCCCACAACTATCAAAGCCCTGTCTGTGACATTAATACATTGTATCTTCAAGACTTTCAAAAGAGGACATCCTTGTGCAATAGCAAGGACCCCCTTATCACTAATAAACTCTGAATCCAATGATAAGGTCTCAAGAGATTTGCAATGAAATCCCACAGCTTCCAGTGATTTGTCAGTTATTCTGGCACAGGCAGCCACACCGAGAGATTTCAACGATTTCCCACATTTGGTTGCCAACTCAACCAATCCTGAATCAGTCAAGCTTTCACAGAATCGCAAATTTAGGTCCTCGAGTTGCTTGCAATACTGGCCAACAACAGCTAGACCTTGATCTCCAACATAGCAACCCTGGAAAAAAATCATCATAAGCAACATAAGTTTGCCTGGTGAACTACTCACAGAACATGACAAGTAAAGTTTCATCATGCCGCTCCAGTTCTGTTTCTTGATGTACCATGCCTGACATATACTCAAGCATGAGCATGAAAATATGACCCTCCAAATACATGGAAAAACTTTTTAGAAAATTAAACATATCATGTTGAGTGCATACCATTCCAACACCCCCACTTGAGTCTACGTAACATAGAAATTCATGGATATGGTGATGCATTTTAAGTATTAATGACTAGGGACAGACATTTAAGAGCACAATATTTACATCACTTTGTAGTAGAACTAATCTGTTGAAAGAATAAGGTATAATCAATCGAATTGAGATACACAGAAGTAAAATATTACCAAATCCTCCCCTAGCATACAAAAAATTACCTGCAAATCCAAGGATTTTAAGAAAATGCATTTCTGTCCAAGGGACATTATACCAAAACTTGTAACATTAGAACACCAGATTAAGCTCAACTTTTCTAGCTTAGAAAACCCATCAGCAACAGCGGTCAAACCGGAATCTGTCAGACAGAATGATTCGCAATCATCTTCTTTATCAGGTCTTGTTTGGTCCGTATAGTGTAACTTGACAGATGTAAGCGCGTTCTCAGCTCTGCCACGCCTTTTGCCCTGCATCTAGAACAAATTAAACTCCCTCAATAACATGCCTAACACTTGGTCACTTCTACCACGTTTTTTATATTAAAAAACAGCAAGCAAATGATTTTCCTTTCACACAAATCAATTTAAATTTAATTATGCTACAATCAGTTCTGCCACACCATTCGCCCCACCCCCCAAACCACGCATAATTTAAACGACCTCATTAGCAAGTCTAACATCTGATCTCTTCTACAACAATTTTCCTTTTTGAAAACATCAAGAAAATGAATTTCCTTTTACATAAACCAATTTAATAATACTAAAATCAGCTCGACCACGTCTTTCCCCTGGTGTAAGAACAATTTAAGCTACTTCATTAACATGTCTAACATTTAGTCTCTTCTACAGCATTTTTCTAAAAATCCAAATAAATGATACTCATTTCACATAAATTAAATTAATCATACTTCAATCAATTGTTAAATTCGCAGTGAACAATTAGACGAAGTAATTAACATGTTTAGTCTCAGACTCAGTGTGCATGAAAGCCTAAATTATTTTTTAAATATTAACCAAAATTCGACGAATCTGAGATTCGATTACCGTGTTAACGGGCAAAGAAATAGATAATCTCTCGTCGATATGAACGGCCTTAACATTGACGAATCGTTGAGCGAGGAACTTGATGAAAATGTCAGGGCTCCCAGAGGCGCCGATTCGGAGGGTAGAGCGGCTAAGCCGATCGAGGCCGAGCCACCGTTTGCAGACGAGGGAACAAGCGTCGTGGCTGGCTTTGGAATCGAGCCGGCGCAAGATCTCCAAGATCAGCTCGTCGGGAAGACAGGTGTTGATCCAATCATGGCCACGCATTGGGAGAAAATCAAAATGGATTTTCTTTTAACGGAGGAAACGAGGATAATTCAAAGGGCAAGTAAATATATTTTTTTGTTTGTTAATATTTTGAGGGAATCGGTGGAGTCGGCGGCGGGCAACTTAATTAGGAAACTGTTTTTTTATTTCCCATAATGATTTTATTGTATTTACACTAGATTATATTATAAATAATTTGATTATTAACAATATCACTTAAGTATAGTTGGTTAAGTAGAACAAGACATCATATTTTTTAAAATAAGATTAGGAATTTAAATCTCAAAGTTATATGAAATAAATTAAAATCAATAGATCAAATACTAATAATTAATTTTTAAAAAATAACGTTACATCCACTTAATTTTAGAAATTATAAATAAGTCTGATACCGATATGATATTCAATTCTAAGGTGTAACATCACAAACTAAATCTTTCACCTAAATTGTTTCTCTCCTTTGTCATAGAAGATCATAAAAGGAGCGAAGGATTTTTCATATTGTCAAATTTAGTCACTCAATCGTGTTATATCAAATTTTTATGATTAAAGTAACGACTACTGATGGTTGAATGATCGATTTGTTACAAAACAATAACGTTAGTTATTATTTGTTAACTATTTTTTTATTTTTGACAATCCTCTAGTTATATTTTTTGTAAATTATACTGTAAGACACTCGATTATTGATAATATCATATAAGGAACACTCAATTTTAAAAAATCATAAATAAGTTTGATGCGAAAACAAGACTCGGTTCTAAGGTATATTATCACAAATTAAATCACCCAACCTATATTTTTATACTTAATTGAAAATTTAGAGACGTTGTTGAATGTTCTAAAATATAACTTAAAATTCAAAAACATAGTGAACATATTTAAAACCTTGTAGAAAGTTATAGAATACTTTGTAACATTCTAGAACACTGTGGAATGTTATAGTACAATGTATAATGGTTTAGAACATCATTATAATGTTCTAGTACTGATGTAAGGTATTTCTACCTTAAATTGATTGTGGATCTAGGAAGGAAGAAAACAACCTGCATAATGGCTCAAATAGATGGTTTGGTAGTAGATGTAAAGGTGAAATGGAGGGCTATTTATGTTATGAGAAATAGTAGCGGAAGTATGTTTATATGGCTATGGTATGGGTGATGAAACAAAGGATGGTTGGTGAGGATAGTATCTTAGAAAGACCAAGGAACTTTGATCTTGTCTCTCCTTTGAGAAGAGATCTACATTTTTTTAGTAAAAGTTAAAGTAGTTAGTTAAATGATTCAAAGTCGTTAAATATTGTCAAATTTAGTCACTCAATCGTGTTATATCAAATTTTTATGATTAAAGTAATGACTACTGATGGTTGAATGATCGATTTGTTACAAAACAATAACGTTAGTTATTATTTGTTAACTATTTTTTTATTTTTGACAATCCTCTAGTTATATTTTTTTGTAAATTATACTGTAAGACACTCGATTATTGATAATATCATATAAGGAACACTCAATTTTAAAAAATCATAAATAAGTTTGATGCGAAAACAAGACTCGGTTCTAAGGTATATTATCACAAATTAAATCACCCAACCTATATTTTTATACTTAATTGAAAATTTAGAGACGTTGTTGAATGTTCTAAAATATAACTTAAAATTCAAAAACATAGTGAACATATTTAAAACCTTGTAGAAAGTTATAGAATACTTTGTAACATTCTAGAACACTGTGGAATGTTATAGTACAATGTATAATGGTTTAGAACATCATTATAATGTTCTAGTACTGATGTAAGGTATTTCTACCTTAAATTGATTGTGGATCTAGGAAGGAAGCAAACAACCTGCATAATGGCTCAAATAGATGGTTTGGTAGTAGATGTAAAGGTGAAATGGAGGGCTATTTATGTTATGAGAAATAGTAGCGGAAGTATGTTTATATGGCTATGGTATGGGTGATGAAACAAAGGATGGTTGGTGAGGATAGTATCTTAGAAAGACCAAGGAAGAACCAGTACTACAATGAGTAAAAACTCAACCTTACAAATCTTTCTAAGGGGTGGTAACAAAGGACTTGGACCCACTATCTATAGAGATATGAACCACAAGTATCAAGGAATAAGGGTTGATGCCACAATTAATTAAATTACTTGATAAGTCAATAAAATTCACAAGGACTTGAGAAAAGAGAATAATCCCACTTATATTAAATGAAAGGTGTGTACAAATGAAATGCAATAGCCTATTTATAGTTTTCAAAGGGTTTAGGCCGAATAGATACATGATGGTTCGACTAAGGTTGAAATCCCTTTGAAAATACATGATTTTTAATGAAAAAACAAGACTTTAATGAACATACATGCTCTTGGTCGAATGGTAAGGTGTTGGTTCGGCCCTAAGGATGTTTTGCATGCATTTGGAAGTTACTTGGCGCCAAAAATGAAGAGGAATGAGTCTTTGGCCAAATAAGAAGAATCCTTTGGTGTTTTGTCGCCTATATGATGTCACATTGAGGGCACATGCTTGAATGATGCACATGACAACCTACTTGAATGCACATGGGTCTTCTTACATTGCTTTCGTGAGGTTGCAACCATAGGATGATGTCTTGAAGTCCATGGGCAGCCTAGAGATGAACAACCTTCAATGGTATGCTAGGTGAGTGTCTTGGTAGCTAACTTGGTGAGTTATAGCTTGATGAACTAAAGCTAGTTAGCTTTGGTCTTCTCAGTTCCTCAACTACTCTCCAACTACTTCCAGCTACCTTTAGTCCACTTTTCAATAATTTGATCCAAAGCTCTCCTCTAGCTAAGTTCAACTACATGCTATCTCATCCAGCTAAGTTGAAGCTCCTTAAGTGATGAAATGAGCTGCCATAACGTTCATGAGCTAGTGTGAGCTGTTATGCTTGTCCTTTTAGCTAACCAAGCTACCATAATATGTCTTGCTTTGTGTTTCACCTATAGGAATCAACAAACAAATAAAATAAGCAATGTGTGAGCTCATTTAAGGTAAAATACATGTTGTCGTGAGGTGTTTGAGTGATATGAGCTATGAATGCATGTCATGAGCTAAGTACATAATGATATAACGTATGTAAGCTAATGTATAAGACCAAGGAGCTAAAATGAATGCACCTGAGCTAACAAATGAATAATTAAGCATGCTGCCATTTCATGAATGTAATTAATCATGCTTAAATGAATGCAAGACTATTCTAACATACTTAACATAACATTGTGTATCAATCATAAAGATGTGGATATGTTGTATACATGAATATCATATAACATGGTATTCATAATAAATGATAAATGGAAACATGTAATAATAATATCCTAAGAAATTATATGTAATCATAGCATATATTTGAATGATATGAAAAAACATGATCAACTAAGCATAGGATGGAAATAATAATATGATAATTTGTACTAACTTGTGAATGCATGCTTATGATAGAATAGAGTGTATAAATGATATAATATAAGATAGGGTAAGGAAGAACTCCATTAGAAACAGCAATGAAAAACGTCCATAGAATAATCAACTTATGGAGAATGTTGGGCATGATCATGCATGTATCAAGTACGTTATAACTTTATTAAGTAACGTCTTGGAAATACAAACTAATGCAAGGCTAATAAACAACGCAACTGAAATTTTGAAAAGAAACATGACAAACTAGGTTTAGCGCTGCTGGAAATGTTGAATTATATGTAATATATTTGGGTTGCAACTATTTTAAAATAACTTAAAATGGTGTAACCGAGAAACCTATCTTATACGTTAAAAGCGATACACAAAATATTATAATGCGGAACTCAAAAAGTTATCAATGTAGTAACATAGCAGGATGCACCTAAAATGTATAAACGGTAAGAAAATAAGTTATAAACGGTAAATGTTATGAATATTATTAACATTTTTTGTTGTGTATAAAATCTTACCAGAGTTTATGTAACAGCCTCAATAACGGGTTAGTGACTATATAGTAAAATTTTAGAACTTGGTGATTAAAGTAGAATAATTGAATAGTATTGTAATTTGATATAGGGTTAATTTGAAAGGAAGAATGAATAGAATGATAGAATGGTCTTTTGGCAAGGAAAATAATTAAGAAGGGATTTATATATATATATATATTGGCTCCACGTGGACGAGAAGAAAGAAAAACAAAGGTTATAGAGTTCTCTTATTCTCTCTTCTTTTCTCCCAAACGTGAAGACTTATAGCAAAGGTGAGATTCTTCATAAGCTAATTGTTTGCTGAAATTTAAGTTTGGTTTTGCTCCTTAGATGCTAATTAAGCTTAAGGAAAGCTTAGTTTATTGTAAAACAACAAAATGAAGAGTGTAGAAGGATTTAAAGATTTGGAGTTTTTGAATGAAATTTTGAAATAGTCTATAATTAGAATAAGAAGTTGAATTTGACTTGTCATCTACCTAATTAAGGAAAATGAAGAGTTAGAATTAGATTTTGAACATGTTGGAATTTGGGTGAAATTCTTGAATTCTATGTGGAAAATTGGATTTTAAGTTCAAAGAAGTGGTTATTGAGTAGTAATGAGTGTAAGCATATCTATGCGAGTTAGAAATCTTAAAGGAAGTGAAATAAGAAGAGTTGTGTTGGAAAGGGGTGAATTTCGTGTTGAAAATGGCAATTCTGGGTTAAGTGCATCGATGCACCTTCAAGGTGTACCGATGCACTCTCAAATAAATGAACATCGAATTCCATTGATGCATCGATGCATAAGGAGTGCATCGATGCACCCGTTTAAAATACAAACATCGAATGGGATTTATGCACCGATGCATAAGTAGTGCATCAATGCAATTGTCAAGGGATGCATCGATACATGGTGTAGTGCATCGATGCATACCTTCATTAAAAGTTAGAAATAGCTTTCTTTTTAGCCAATAGTGATAGTTTAGAATATATTAATTAATATACTGATTAGTATCAATGTATTACTATGTAGATATAGAACATATTTTCGTTTTGGAACAAACAAAGGATTAGGATCAAGTCGAAACAAGCAAGGCCAAGGTGAGTGCATTTTCTAGTTAAAGTGTATAGAGATAAGA